GTACCATATCTGGAAAATATGATGGGTGGGGGAGAACTTCCAAACTCAACTCTATAATTTTGTGTTACGTCAAATTTGCCACATGTGGACGTGCATCGTCGTGGAGAAGAACACCTTTCGGATTGAAAGGCACTTCTGATGAAGGGCTTGATTTAATCGTTCCAGTTGCTGACTATATATATCTCTGCATTGACAGTTCGCTGTGGATTGAGGAGTTCGAAATGATGTACTCCTTTGATGTCCTACCAAATGCTAAGCATCATTTCTATGGATGATTTCAGGTTTTGGGGTCGGAAGTGGTTTTTGTCGTTTAATATTCGCATCGAGAATCCATTTTTCGTCACCGGTGACAATTCTGTACAAAAATGGTTCATGCGCCAGAAGAGACGAAGCAACGTTCACACATTGGAAACGATGGTAATCAGAGAGTTCGTGAGGCACCCAAACACCTTCTTTATGAAGTTTTCCCATATTCCTGAGATGTTTACGTATTGTTTCATGAGAAACATGCAATTTCATGGCCATTTCACGAGTGTGTTGCCTTGGGTTACACTCAAGAAGTCTTCAGAGCATCAATATCTATTCCAACATGTCAGCCCTTCCATCACAGTTTTTAAGGCTAAAGTCACCCGAACGAAATGTACTGAACCATCGTTGACACTTACGAACGTTCAAAACATTTCTATAAATTTCTTTGACATTCTTTATGGCTACAGAGGCTTTGTTTCCCTTCTTGTATTCAAACAGCAATACATGCCGAATGTGTGTCTCGTCGCGTGCCATAGAGTATACTAAACTTTACACATTAAACGTGACGTTTAGGCGATTCGTTTAACTATTATAGGTGATGTACGTTTTTGTGTTGTTGTTGTTTGGGAGAGGGGAGGTGGTTAATGAAAGGTTCCAAAAGGCGACATTAATTTCATGACGGCCTAATACATCTTTTTTTTTCACATTATAACCCACTCACATAAAAATAGGCTGATACTAAAATGAACTATATTGTTTTAATGGTTTCTATTGTTGAGTGTTTTTTTTTCATTATTCAAAAATAATGCAAAGTTCACTTAATAAAAAGGAGTGTTTTATTTCTTCAAACGATAAACCTAATCCACAAGTAAAACTAAAGAGTCACTTGTTAAATATCCTCTCCTATGTACCTCGCAAACTCAAACTGGCTGACTAATGCACATGCTAACTCAGTAATTAACCAATAACAATGTATTAGACTAACAATTAGCTAACTGACTCACTAATATAATTACAACAGAAAATTTGAGACGTCCTTTTACCATCACTTGCTGGTCTGTTACTAGAAATGGGTCGAAATGACTATACAAAGAAGAAATAGAAGGGAGAGTAACTGAAGAAAAGATCAGTTCATCCTCCCAGGCAAAACAAGTCTTTGGAGGAAGAGGTGATCTAGGATTAAAATTAACCTATCTCTGTGATAAAAAGTGTCTAAGACAAATTCATCAGCAACATCCCAAGAAGAAGAAAATTGATCTTTAAAGAAATATGATACAGGGTGGCCAAAGGTTTGAAGAGGGAACACATAAGACCCTGTACAAAGAAACATAGATTCCAACCCAGAAGAGAGCCTGGATGAGAATGAAAACTGAAGAGAAGGACTTGGAAGAGGTTTGTACTTACCAGAGAAAGAAAAGGAGATTGGTCAGGAAAGAGATAGAAGATAGTTGACAAAGCTGCTCTGTAACCAGTAATTGTAGAAACGTATAAAATACCCTCGAAAAGCCAGATGAAAAAGCGAGATGAGAAGGGTTGGACGACCTGGAGGGAGTGACAGATGTACCAGCGGCAGCAACCATCCATTTGTATTGATAAAGTACAAGGGTGGATAGCCACCATGAGAAAGCAATAAAACAGGCTATTCTGTGTGAAATTCCCACCTGTCGTGCGACAGACCACTGAAAATGCTCCTAGAATCTGATTGAAAGCTTAATGGGCCATTACACACACCTGAAAGGTAGGGCCCAGATCTTAAATTTCAGCTGTAGTGGATAAACCAGGAGAAGCTATGGACAGAAGTGGCAAAAGGCATCTGACACATCAACCTTGGTCAATTATAACCTTTGAGAGAACACCCATCTCAAATTAAGAAACCATTCATACTGAACCAATGGATGACAAAAAATTGGTTGAAGGACGAGAGATCTATGCTAATCACAGAAAGGTTGAAGACCTGTTCTACAATATCTTAGAACCCAGAGCTTCCTCCACACACTGAAGGGGCAAAGGATCCGAAAGGGGGAGGAGGTGGAAAGGCAACTGGAGAAGAAGAAGAAGAAGGTTGAATGTGAAAAGAGAAGGAAAGTTTGTAGGAAAGCACCTGTGTGATCTGTGAAAGCCAGACCTCTGAGGGGGACATTGAAAAGTACCAAAAGGATAAGGAACAGGAAAAGGGGCAACCTCATAAGTCTACTATAGACGAAAAACCCGTTGGGACCCCCTGCACTAAGAAAATCGGGAAATTAAAGTAAGTAGGGATGGTTACTGATGAGCAACCTCAACTTTAACTTCCAACTTGCAACAAATACCTCCAAATACTTCATTTCAAAAGAAGAGTGCCAGAAAGAAGTACCTGGGATAAGAATGAGGGATGCAAATACCCAAAAGTAAGACACTCTGACAAAGCAAATCCCAGAAACAAAGTAATCAAGTTAACTGGGATGTTGCAGAAGAATATATCAAAGTCAAAGTGACAAATAAGTTAGTACAATGTCCCTAATGAAGCTGTCGGGGTAACAAAGTAGAGTCTCTGAGGGAAATGAAATGTAGCTAGAGAAAAATTTTAGCAAGAGTAAGGTGAAGACAAGCAGACTGAGAGAAAGTTGGAGAATGGAGATTCCTCAAGTTACACGAAGAGATTCAAGTGACTAAAGCTCAAGGAAAGTAGAAAAATATCAAACATACACCACAGAATAAGTTTCTCAATGTCTATGAGGACAAAGTAACTTGGAGAGAGTCACTGCAAAACTGAAAGAAAGGCATCATGAACAATATCAAGAGAAGAAGGAAGAAAATATATTTAGAAGAAGAAGATTCCTGCAGCAAGGTTGTCCAAGAGAAAGCAACAACTGGAGAAATAGAAAAAATGTCACATACACGAGTAATCAAAGCAGAAAAATACAAGAGTGGTAGTACGTGTTCCTCATCAGGAAGGAAAGAACCAGAAGCAAAGGCAGATGGAAGGAACAGTTGGTCAAAATCTACAAAAATGAGGCAAGCTCAGCTGAAGCAACAGAAAGACGTCACGATTCCTGGATCTGGGATTAAGAAGATAGAATAATACCAATTATCTAGTTCACAATGGAAATAACATCACTAATCATCAGAGTGCCAATGAAACAGTAGAAGACAGCTTCTACTGTGAAAGACAAGACCTCAGGACGTGTCAGAAATATGGAGATTGGGAATTTATTTTTTAAATGATCCAAGAAACCTTTATTTTTGTTATAATTTAAAGTAAGAGTACATAATACAAAAAGTTATCCAAAGTTAAAGCACCAAATTCAATGTAAAAATCCTGTAATTCCAAAAATAAAGAAAAATTCTTTATGTCTGATGGTAAGAAGTGGCAAGGAAACAACGAACTTTTGTTGTAATGCTAATGCTCATGGAGTTCACTGCACGTAAAGGATGTGTCACCCCTCCTTTTGGAGAAAGTTTGTTTGTTTGTAATTAAGCACAAAGCTACACAATGGGCTATCTGTGCTCTGCCCACCATGGGTATCGAAACCAGGATTCTAGTGGTGTAAGTCCACAGACATACTGCTGTACCACTGGGGGGCTTTTGGAGAAAGACTACAGTCAAATGATAATTACATCATAGGTTGGTGCAATCCACATTAGTAAACATAGGGATTGGAGTTTCATTCAAGGTGTGTAAATATCTTCTCCACAGAGGCACAAGGTAATAACTGTTTTGCAGAGAGGCGAGCACAATTTCTGAATTCTTGTTTCTCCATTCTTGGTCTTTCTTCAATTTTGCTCTCTTCTTATTTAAATTTTCTGTAAATTTTATCTTGATCTGTTAATTTTTGTATATTTCTCTTCTAGATCTTCTTTTAATGTGCAGACATTTCTGCTTGTTCTTCTTTCCACTGTTTCACCATTTCTAGCAAATTATTAGATTCTACATCATTTTCTACTAAAATAATCCCACTTCTGACAACAGTGTTGTAACAGATTCTATAGTTAGGCAGGTTCTTTTTTTATTATTTAGTAAAAAAAACAACGCAAAGTCCACTCCTCTGAGCAAAACTGAAAGCACTTTATTTCTTCTACCAGAAGTTCTACAAGCTTTCATAAAAATAGATGTAACTCAGAAATAACACTAAACAGTCACATCTTCTCTGATATCTACAGCATAAACTCAGTCGGCTACTAAGAAACTTCCTAACTCAATAATTGATCAATAACACTGTAACAGACTCACTAAATAGCTAACTCATTGATACTGTTATATTATTACAATATTTTTCTTTCAAGTTTCAAGAACATTTGAGATGTCAAATTTTTAGCCATCCCACATAATCACATCATGCCAAAAACTACACTTAAAAAACAATAAAAAGCCTAAATTCAAATATTAAAACACAGTTCACAACAATACTTTTATTACTTATGTCATCTGTACAATTTTGTACATCCACCAATTTCTTTTTACAATACTTTATTATCTAGCATAATAAAATAAAACTAAGGCATTCATATGTATGCTTAGACAAAATATCACTCTCAATTTGATCCTTTCTATAGAGTTTTAACTACAAAAAAAGGGGTATTTTTCTGATCAGTTTCTTATCAAATGAAAAGACATTGAAGACTTTCATAACTTTAATTTTACCAACAGCAATGCATTTCTTTGTCTAGTTACATATTATTGGCAACATTGTGTTCCTTAATTAAAAATACGTTTTCTTCTTAAATTTATTGAGTATTTTTGGCAAGATTATGTTCCTTAACTAGATAAGTTTGTTTTTAGTTTAGTTAAATATTCTTGGCAAGATTATGTTCCTTAACTAGATAAGTTTGTTTTTAGTTTAGTTAAATATTCTTGGCAGGATTATGTTCCTTAACTAGATAGAAAGGTGTGTTTTTAGTTTTATATTTAGTTAAGTATTCTTGACAGGATGGTGTTCCTTAACTAGAAAAGTGTGTTTTTAGCTTTAAATTTAGTTAAGTATTCTTGGCAGGATGGTGTTCCTTAAATAGAAATATGTGTTTTATATTTAGTTAAGTATTCTTGACAGGATGGTGTTCCTTAACTAGAAAAGTGTGTTTTTAGCTTTAAATTTAGTTAAGTATTCTTGGCAGGATGGTGTTCCTTAAATAGAAATATGTGTTTTTAGTTTAGTTAAGTATTCTTGACAGGATGGTGTTCCTTAACTAGAAAAGTGTGTTTTTAGCTTTAAATTTAGTTAAGTATTCTTGGCAGGATGGTGTTCCTTAAATAGAAATATGTGTTTTTAGTTTAGTTAAGTATTCTTGGCAGGATGGTGTTCCTTAACTAGAAAGATGTGTTGTATTTTTCTTTTAATCTTTTAAATTTAGCTAAGTTTATTTTGGTAAGATATTTTCCATCATGTCCTAGAAAGACACATGTTTTAACTCAGTGAAGTATTGTTGGCAAGAATATGTAAGAATAACCTAAATATTATATTTCACTTATCATAGCTTTATAAACTTACATTTTAAAATTATTCAAATACATGTACCACATATCTCCCAAATTCAAAAAATATAATAAATGTATTTAACATTTATGCAAAAACAGCAAGTAATATTATGTTGAAGAAACATGTATCATACATTAAACATTACCACAAACATACATATTTACCTTCTTATGTTATGTTGAAGAAACATGTATCATACATTAAACATTACCACAAACATACAT